CGAACTTTGTATCAGGTTGTTGTTATTTTTGGTTTTGAATGCATAACTATATAAAGAGTTGATGCTGAAAATGTTGAGGCCCTTGCTATCATGCGTTGAACTGCTTTTTTTTTCGAGACCACAATGGAAGCACTATCATTTTGAATCTGAGAGAGTGGCTACTGCGTTTCTATGCACCGCTCGCACACTATAAAAATACTCAAAATATGTGTGTCTATCTGCTTGCTACAAGTTTGTGTCCCCCAGAAGTTTGTAACTGTCGCTTGGAACTTCAGCTGGGAAGGGGGATCATGTTTGGGGCGAATAGAGCATGAGCCAGGCTGCACGAGGCAGGCATGGGCCATAAACTCGCCCAGGGTTTACAATGTACCAATTAGAATTCTGCAAAAAGTCACCCATGATTGGAGTGTCTTTGGATTTGACGTGTCGGCGCACTTGATAGGAGCCGTGCGGACATGACAATTCTAACATACTCTGCTGGATATCAACAAAGCAACTCGCAGCGACTTCTAAGGGCAAATTCTATCAAGTGCCATGGCCGCCACCTCAAACCCATAGACCTCTAACCTCAGTACACATGCATTACATACTCACCCGAGTCCATTCAAAATCAGCGGAACCAGGTGAGTCCGGACAGACTGAGGCGCATCTTTGCGGGACTCGGGTCAAGGTCATGCCACCAGTCAGTCCATCCTTGGCAGACGTCTTTTGCACTTGTTTCGCGCACAGCCAAACTGATTGTACAGTTATTCTCCCTATTGAATTGAGCGGGGTACTGTCGTATACTAGGCAATGAATGTTTCCTATCGTTGCAAGTTCATAGGGGTTGGTGTTTCAGATTTCAGGGCATAACGCGCCAGAGGCCCATTACGTAATCAAAGGAGCGATTAGTTCCGAGAGTGTGAGAGAGCTATCCGCATGAGTGAATGACTCGCTGCTCGAAAGAAAGCTACAAGAGGTTTGAGGCGCTTCATGTGTCTTCTCCCTGTGCTTTTCGCTGAAGTACGTCCGACTAACAAAAAGGGGAAGTCCTAATTTTCACGAACTTTTTGCTATTTCTCTTCCCTTTTCCTCCTCAGCGATCCATTTCGAGATGCGTTGTGGAACGCTTCAAAGTGATGGTTTATATAGAAAAAAAAACACTTGAGACGCGAAAAATCACCACCATTAAAGTACATAGAAAACAGCCATATAAGACGCTGAAAAATCATTCTTATAGTAAAGCTTTTAAAGGAGGAGCACCACAATTAACAATGAAATCAAAACGTTCATAAAGCCCCTTCTAACAGCTTAAATTATCCCAGAGATCTCAGGAGGCAAATATCGAGAACACAACACGACACCACACTTTGGAGACCGCACATTTTAGGCTTATTGATAGCGTAGAACGTAGTGGCATTTGATGAACGTATCGAGGAAAATGGGGAGGGAAACTCATTTTCTGAACTAGAGAAAAACTATTTCAATAAGATACCCACCAAAAAACAAACGAGACCGGTTATCTCGCGAAAAATTGCCTGCGAAGTCCTATAGAAAGCACATATTGGCTGTGTGGTTTCGAAAGTGTGACTGCCGAAAATAAAACATCAACAAAAATCAATAAAACATTGCATGCATCAAATCCATACGCCAGCTTTTCAAATCGAGTCACTGACCTAAAAAAAGAGTGAATAATGATTCGCACAAATGAAATTTGAAGCAATTTTTTGAGATATGGCTGAGCATCTTAGAAATGTGTTGGTTGGCTTGGAAAACCTGGAACGCGCGCTGCGCCAGGAGATGGAGCAAAGGAGACGGCGCCGGAGGCATTACGTTCGCTTGGAACACGTGCCATTCCTGGGTAACCGCATGAGGACATTCGATGAGTATTTGGCAGTGGCCGATCCCAATCACTTTTTGGAACTGACGAGACTGAGGCCGCCCGAGTTCTTAGCTCTCTATGAGCTGATCGCCGAACACATTGCCCACCCCATAACGCACAGGTCCCCCATATCTGGCAAATGGCGGCTTTTCACTTTCCTGAGGTAATGATTATTCATGAGAGATGCTCATACAGTTACCGAATCTTTGCAGCTTTTTAAGGTTTGTTGGGCAAGGACACAGTTTCACCGCTTTGGGCCAGGATCTTCACTGTGGAAGAAGTACAGTAGGTGAAATTGTTTTTGAAGTGGCACGAGCTATATGCAGAGGTAAGGCACTTTCCGGAATAATTGAGACAAAGAGTGTTCGGCCTCGCCACATTGCCCACCACCCCCTTATACTTTGTCTCAGCTGTGTACCATGAAGCATTTCCATCGCTGACAAGGGGTGATTTGGAAGAGATCGCCGTCAGGGCGCAGGAAAGATATGACTACCCACGTGGTGTTGGATTCTTAGATGGGAAACACATATATATAAAGGTACGTAGACGCCACTTTATCGTTGCGGTGTGCCTATTATAGTCATTGCAGAAGCCCCCACACTCCGGTAGTACGTATTGGTGCTATAAAAAAAGATTCTCCATCATCCTACTAGCTCTGACAGACTGCAACAGGCGAATTCTAACGTTTGACGTAGGTTCACCGGGCTCAGTAGGAGATGCAGACGCTTTTAGGAGATCAGGAATAAAGGTAAGTCGGAATGTAATACGAAATGGCTTATGTATAGCATTATTCCAGCGCTTGTTTGATAACCACGATGAACTCTTCCCACCCACACGAGAGCTAGGAGATGTGGGGCCGGTGCAGTACCACGTATTAGTGGACAGCGGCTTTGCACAGCGGTACCGCTATATCAGGCCTTATCGGCGAGAGGACGCGAATACGCGCAGTAGGCGCACGTTCAACAAGAAACATAGCAGGTAAGTCGCAATTCTTTGCATCATCTGAAATAATCAAATGTTGATCACCAGCGCCCGTCAACAAGTAGAAGGAACATTTGGCCAAATGAGGGGACGTTGGCGTATCCTAGGAACCCCGATGGATTTCAAGCCCGAGCAAGTAATGAAAGTTGTAGCGTCGCTGGTGGTAAGTAGACCTTTTTTAGAGAGCCACAAATTTTCAGACACCTCGGCCTCAAAGTCCACCTTTTAGGTGCTCAACAACTGGATTGTTGGAAGGCGGCACCCAGAGGAGCAACACCCAAGGCATGCAGCCCCTGCGCAAAGGCAAGAGACTCGCACGACGTGGACATGATGCGAAGCGACTTAGCGGGAAATCTTGCGAGGGAACGACTGACAACGTACTATGCTCGCAGGCATGGCGCTCCCCGCTGAGCGTGGTGGTTTTTTAGCACATAATAGGTAAGATTTACTTCGTACATTTTCATTATTTATTTTTCAATTTTGACCGTTGAGTAGCAGAACAATCAACGAAGCTCCCAATACTAGAGATCACTTAATCTCAACTGACCTCTATGTCGACATCTGGCTGAACGTTTGCCTGGGCTGAACGTTTGCCTGGGGCTCATGCTGCACCACCACCTCTCGTACAGGTGATACCCATCGGAAATTTTGCACGCATTCGACGCCGAGTATCATGATCGTTGCCATCTGCTGCATCTTGACCTCACAAGCAGCGGGATTGAGAACTCTGTTGCGGAGATATTCTGCGATCCAGAATCCTAGAAGTTTTTCCTTACTATTAGACACATCTGGAAAAACATAAGTTCGCTCACCAAAAGATGAAAACTCGTCCACTTTAACTGGAGAAGCAGCTGCTGCAGCGTTTGCTGCAGCTGTTGCCGTTGATGCAGCCGCGTTCGCTGCAGTTGATGCAGCTTCATGTTCCCCAAAACGCTTCCAATCCGTTCGAATCTGCTCGCATAGCTCGCGAACATCCCCGTGAGACGCTGCCAACGCTGAAGCAAAATTCGTTATACTGGCCATTCCCCCTAGAACAAAAATATTCACCTTCGCCACTACCCCTCTTTCTCTTCTTAGATCTCACTGATGAGCGAGGGCTGTGCGCCTCCAGAAGAACAAGCTCGCTCTGAGCCTGCTGATGAGAAGGCGCGTTCAGATCCTGCCGAGGAGACGCGCTCTGGGCGCATCTCCACATCCAAACTCGCGGGGGGGGTCGTCTAGCAATGGAGCTGAGAGGATGCCCCTTTCGTCCACGTTGGAGATTGTGGGGCTGAAATGATCGCTGAGAAATCGCTGAGAAAGTGATGTGATTAAACTTCGCTGTGACGGTGTTGCTAATGTTGCTGCTACGTACCCAGTATAATCCGCAGTATCCAAAAAAGACATGGCTTCTTGGTAAATCCAGTCTCGAGTAGATGCCGACCCAGTCGATGGGTTTTTTCTCCGCTTGTAAGTGTCTTTCAAGTTCTTCCAAATCCTAGCTGCAGTATCCACTAAATTTTTCCTATTTCCCACAATTTTCCAATTTCCATGACACCGAAGAGCAATAATGACGTACAGTCGAGCGTGAAACCATAACATTGCATTTCTTTCACGATGCGATTCCATGCATCATCTTTATAGTCTTTCCTTTTGAAGTCATCCGATTTAGTATTCCATATGCAGGGCTCCAACTCCACACACTCGATCAATTTTAGGCGCAGGTTTGGGTGCTGCGTCGACATGCTCTGAATAAATTTCTTGCATGAATCAACTAGCTCGATGAGTCCTTCCGTGAATAAGATCAATGTCGGACACTCGCCTATTGGGTTGTATTGAAGTCGAGTTAATTCCTTGAGAGTTGGATTTCGGTTGTTTTACTGTCTGAGCCTGTTTATGTATTGCATTACCATATTTCTTATCTAATCAGTTACTAGTATCGTAATATGTTACAACTACCTGCTACTACTACTATTACTTGTTTTTGTTACTAATCAAGAAAATAAAGGATGGCAGGTTGGCCTTTGAGCGAGTGGGCGTTTCCGAGTTGACCTCATTTACAAGTAAAAAATGACCAAAGGAAGCAAGTACATACACGCCGGCTCCATTACCGAATACCACAGCATATCAGTGCAACACTTGTTATCTTGTGCAAAGGTTTTTTACAATTACACCAAACCCGGTACATCCCCACAACACAAAGCATTGCAGCAGGAAAGCAAGTGACTGCTACTGATACCAATACAAGCGAGGAAATGACAAAATAAAATATTCTGCAATTTGCTATTACAATTGAGACTATAAGATATGAAAAAAGTATTGCGTTATCCGATGAGTAGCGTCGTTTTCCCGAGTGAGAAATCCTTCCTCTGAGATCCCAAGTTTTCTCAAAATGTTACACAACTGTTGCATAACTTTGGCTTGTAATGGTCCAATGGAACGACTAATGAGGATCTTCGCCTTTCTCGGCCTAAAAGGATAGAGTTCCACAGAAGACGGTTTACGGACTACTTGATTTTTCCTCAATGGTCCTGCCGCGATGGCTAGAGCACAGACGATTAGAGAATGCCCTAGGACTAAGCCTTGGAGAGGAGAGGGACCCGCGAGAGAGCGCAGAGGGTTTAAAGGGCTGAGTTCAAGTAGTCCGTCGACCACAGAGGACGACCCGGCGCGGAAAACTGGATGAGGATTTGGGAAAAATGAGTGTAATTGGGACATCTACCACTACTTGTCTAAATTGCATTACTATCGAGTTGTTCGCATTATCTTATTCTTATTGCTGAAGAGCCCAAAGAGTACTCTCTAGGAGTAAGGATAGAATAGCAAGCAGTGTCCCCCCCCCAACTCAAGACTGAATTCACAGCGATTTTCCTGCAACTTCGTACGCATCTTCTTTAAAGTGATGTCGTTATTCTCATTGATTGTCTAATTTTGTTTTGTTATGATTGTTATGAAGAAAACCTAGGATTCAATCAAATCGCAACGAAACAAAAAGCACAGTTATTCAGATTAAGCAAAAAGCACTTTCCAATGGTGTACGATGTAAGTTGAGATGGAATAAGAGAATCCAGAAGGTAAATTCATTAATAGATTGTGGTGGAATGAGCTTGACTTATACCTCGATCCACTGAAGCTCCCATTTTGCAAGGGTAATTGATTCTACAAGGAAGTATTTCTAATGGGGGAAAATAACTTTACCCATTGATTAGCCTGTGATTGGCCTTGTGAAAAAGCACATGCAGTGAAGGTGAAATAAGGCACATGCAATGGAAGTGCAAAACGCTAATAATATAATCGTACCCACAAAGAGCACAGAATAATTGCTGACATGGTAACTGAAGAGCAAACACACCTCTCTCAGATATCAGGCAGGAGGAAGTCCTAACTGACAATTCACCTTCATTTCAAAGACATTTCTGTCACAACAACAATGCTCAACACCTGGCTCCCCAACAAGTCCAACGCATCCCTTCTGGTGAAGCACATGAGTTCCTTAGCTCTTCTCAGCCTCGCTTCTGGTTGAATCTGAATAGTCTTCAATGAATAGGAGGTTAATAGCGAGAATACATACATAACAGCGAGAATACTTCCTATGTAGAAACCTTTTGAAAAAACAACGTACCGAATCTTTCAAATGAAAATGAAGAGGATGTGGAACGCCAAAATGCTTTCCTTTGAATGAGTTCTCCGAAAATTTCCTCCTAAAACAGAGCAATCGAGATATATGTCAGCAAAAGAACAGATTCCGTTAAGTTAAACTTAAACATACTCTTCTGTCGTAAAAGCCAGATGACATTAGGTAGACGATCACAGATGCCCAACGCAAGAAGTATGGCCGCGAAAACACGAGATCGATAGATTTTCGCCATTTCAGCAGAGCAAATTATTAATGTTAACCTAAACAATCCAAGGAATAGAAGTGATGTCGAAATGGCCAACGATTAATTCCGTTTCAATCAATTCAGCTACCTCGACGTTGATAAACACAAGGCGATGCTCTGCTTTACATTGTTAAGAGAGCAGCGTTCATGAACTTCCATAACCAATTCAGAAATCAAAAGATTGCTCACTTGGAAGAACTTGAAATACCTTCCTTAATAAAAGAATTAAAAAAGTTGAATTGAAAAATTGTTCAGAAATTCAACAGCAAAAATCCCATAGCAATTCCAGTTTCTTCGCAAAGAGAGAGCGCAGTGAGCTTTTATAAGCACAAACGTAAGCGTGTGTAGGAGAATGAAACACGAAACCAAATCTATCCGCGCTACAGCGGTCCGCCCAAACAGACTTGACCGTGCTCAAAATTAGATACATTGACTTGAACTCACCTAAAGCTCGCGACAGCTCGACAAAGCGATCAGACTTCTTCAGACTCCTATCTACGTGCGGCCCAACTCATTTCTGAAACGACATATTTGTCCACAAACAATTAGGGAATTTGCCATGTAATCTCGAGAATTCAACAGACATCACTCCATGAATGAGTTGACTCATCAGAACAAGACCCAAGACGAGAACTTTAAGCGCTCACCAACAATTCAGGTTGGGGTACATCTAGCTTTGGTGGAACTTGCGTAGGTTCTCTAGACTTCATTTCGTAAATTCAATGACGAATGAGAAATATCGGCACAAGTGTATCAAAAGAAATTCCAGAGCCCAACGAGTTTATTATAACTTTCTCTAAATAAATGTTTATTGGGGTCTCATCCAGTAAGAGGGGGGGGGGGGCATGTGGTGCGACAGTTCCATATTGCATGAAGTAATCCACTTCCAGGGGAGGGAAGCTCCGGGGTGGGTGTAAAAGTTTAAGCGAAATGGTTCACGCACCCCGGGATTCCCTCCCTTGCAAAAATTGGAATTTCTGTAGCCGTCAAGAACTTCTCACACATGCCCCCCCTTACTGGATGACACCCTTCTATCGATTCAGTATAATTACTGATCGATTTACTATCAACCAACGACGAAGTAAAAATTGTCTTCGTTGAGGCACAACACTTAGGTAAAACTTGGGACTAAAAATAGAACCGTAGGAGAACCACCTTTCATAACCCTAACCGAATCCGACAGATCCATGTATTCGTAAACCGAGGTATGGTGTTTTTCTCTATAGACGCGGCCAAATTCGTATATAACGGCGACAAAACAAACAATGAGAGGCCCCATCAAAGTGACGGAGTGTTTTCGATTGTAGTGAGATGTTTTATGTGCAAGGAAACGAAATCATGATCAACGGTATGCCTCAGTAACT